GGTGTGTATGTGCATATGGATGGACGGATTGGGCAAATGGTGTGGGCTATGGCCGATTTGTAAACGCATTCAATCAACTGTTGCCAAAATGAGTGTGTTCGGAGAGTAGAAATGAAAAATGAACGCTATGCTTGCAAAAGCGTGTGGTCCGCGCAAAATTCACAACGAATGTTTGTGAATGATAAGGGTCATCTGATGCACAGAGCACCACGATTTGTTTGTAGTCAAGTAAGGCCAAGCTCGGTCGTTTGACCGTTTTGAAAAGGGAATTCGCATCATTCCGTTGGGCCAATGAATGGGCAAGTGGGAGAACAGGAAGAGCGCTTTGAAGTACGCTCCATGTGGACCGATTTTCCGGTGAGGCCAGTTGCACAGGCATTGGAGTTGGTATCAAATACACACGCAGATGGTATGCGAAGAAAACAGGCGAACAAGGCTTCTGCCACGAGATTGACGAATTGAGTCGTGAATGCAAAATTGGATGAGTAAACACGACATTTAGCCATGGCAACCTGTTTGTCAGCACACTTGACAACTCAGTCCCAGTTCCCAGATGGTTGGTTAGAAAGATGGATGATGACTTTACAGTCTGGCAACATGGCAAAGAGTGTCTGCGAGAATTTCTCGAGTGAATGAATGTAATTGGATTTGGATAAGAACAGTAAATCGCCCTTTTTAGGTGTCCTAATTAGTAAGGGAGGGAATAATTCGAGTGTGAATATGTACGGGAAACATACAAAACTGGGTTCCCTTCATAATTTATTCTCTGATTATACGTATGGGGTCAAAGTAGGGAGTGTCAAATAAATGATGGAAAAGAGATTGCGTCTAGCTGGTGCAAATCACCAGAATCTGGAGATAGAAATACTGAGAAAAATTTTAATAAAAACAATTATCCATTGGAATGAGTTGTTCGTAATTTCATAATATTAAGCAATAAAGGGCGAGGAAGTAGCTATTTTGAGGAAAACATGGAATTGAACAATTCATCATGTAGGTTTCTGATGCTACCGAGTTGCCAGGTGTCCAAAAAAAAGAAGAATTACTGAGAAAAGGCTGTCTCTGACCATTCCTTCTTTTAGATGATCTTCGTATCCT